AATATGTTCCGAGTATATTTTACTAACGTTCTCATTAAGTGAACATTTCTGAATGTTCTCTGAACTTTCAAAACATCCATTTTCTTTTTATTGTTTTAGAAAAAAAAATTAGTTGGTTGTGCAAACGTTAAGGGAACGTTCTATTAATTTCACAAATATTATGGGAATGCTACTTTTGAATTTTCTCTGTAGCAAGGCTGTAGAGTTTAGTAGAGACGCTATGACATGTCTTTACCAATATCAGAGACTGCTAAATTGTCCCAAGCAATAATTTTAATCCAACAATTAAACGTCTGTTGTCTGCCGTTATTTCCCCATCAATGCCACAATCAAACCTACGCCCTTTGCTCTGTACGTTCTGAAACAAGTAGTAACATTTAAAAAGGTTAGACAGACGTCCAGCTAAAAGATTTCAGAATAAAAAACATTCCATGAATGCTGTATTAATAATGTTTTTGTGCTAACGTTTTGAGAACATTATTAAAAGACCAGAGAACTAATGAACGAAAATTCTATTAACGTTACTTGAAGAATGTTTGTTCAATAACTTTGAGAGAAGTTAATAACTTTAACATTCCAAGTTAATGGACATTGAATTGTCTTCCTAAGGTAATTGTATAGTAACGTGACATTTTTTACAAGCGATTTTAGTCTTTTCATGATTAAAACATTGATTGAACCCTTTTTTCCCACCACCTTCATGTTTATTTGCTGCTGTAACTAGTAGTAAAGAAGAAGAGATGATTGGTTGACGCGACACATTAAAAGGCACCAAAACCACAAATATTGTTTGGATATTTAAAACTTTGGCAGATCTCAGACCTGTGCCACTCCTGCCACCAGGCCTGACAGGAACACATCGAGCTTCGTGTTGGCAGCACTGATCCCGCGGAACCGAGCCAAACACTGCAGACAGTTCCGGTAAGTGCCGAACACCACAGAGGACGTCATGGATATAGTGGTGATCGGCAAAGCCATTCCCTTAAAGAAGCCATGGGCCTGCAGCAAAACATGAGCATGAGAACTTAGAGAGAGAACTGGCCGAATCTGACAGATAACATGTCTCTATTATCATTACTACAGTATCCACCTTGTTTTGCAACACGCAAGCTATTTTCTGCGAATGTGCAAGACTTCCGATTCATACCCCTGATAGCACATAGAGTGTTTGCTCATCGGCAATGTGTCTATAGGACGTTTCCTATCAGATGTATCTATCAAATAGAAAATGTCTTTAAGATGTTTATGATGTAAAACTGACATCTTAGAGACATCTGTCAGATGTTTGTCCACAGCAGATGCTTTCCAGATGAAGTGATCTTGGAGACCTCAGATAGCACACGTACGTCTGCAAGATGTCTGTTAAAGATCACTTCATCTGGAAAGCATCTGCTGTGTACAAACATCTGATAGACGTCTTTAAGATGTCAGTTTTACATCTTAAAGACATCTTCTAAACGTCTATTTGACATCTGATAGGAAACGTCCCATAGATTGCAGATGAGCAAACGCTCTAAAAAATACGTCTTGCAGATGTAAACGCAGACATCTCCGTGACGTACGTGTGCTATCAGGGGTCTGGGTTTATAATTATGACGATACATTTAAATATTATAAGAAACACCAGTCTACCGATCAAGCAGCATAACAAGCTGTTTTGTACCACTAAATATAACTGGATGCCAATGACACCAAAAGTCTCGCGCATACGAGTTATAAAGTTGTGGCCTAATGGTTAGAGAGTCGGACTCATAACCCAGAGGTTGTGGGTTCGAGTCTCATATTGGCAGGGATTGTAGGTGGGGGGGGTGAATGTACAGCACTCTCTTCCACCTTCAATACCATGACTGAGGTGCCCTTGAGCAAGGCACCGAACCCCCAACTGCTCCCCAGGTAGCATAAATGGCTGCCCACTGCTCCGTGTGTGTGTGTGTGTGTGTGTGACCTTCATGTTTATTTGCTGCTGTAACTAGTAGTAAAGAAGAAGAGATGATTGGTTGACGCGACACATTAAAAGGCACCAAAACCACAAATATTGTTTGGATATTTAAAACTTTGGCAGATCTCAGACCTGTGCCACTCCTGCCACCAGGCCTGACAGGAACACATCGAGCTTCGTGTTGGCAGCACTGATCCCGCGGAACCGAGCCAAACACTGCAGACAGTTCCGGTAAGTGCCGAACACCACAGAGGACGTCATGGATATAGTGGTGATCGGCAAAGCCATTCCCTTAAAGAAGCCATGGGCCTGCAGCAAAACATGAGCATGAGAACTTAGAGAGAGAACTGGCCGAATCTGACAGATAACATGTCTCTATTATCATTACTACAGTATCCACCTTGTTTTGCAACACGCAAGCTATTTTCTGCGAATGTGCAAGACTTCCGATTCATTCCCCTGATAGAACATAGAGTGTTTGCTCATCGGCAATGTGTCTATAGGACGTTTCCTATCAGATGTATCTATCAAATAGAAAATGTCTTTAAGATGTTTATGATGTAAAACTGACATCTTAGAGACATCTGTCAGATGTTTGTCCACAGCAGTTGCTTTCCAGATGAAGTGATCTTGGAGACCTCAGATAGCACACGTACGTCTGCAAGATGTCTGTTAAAGATCACTTCATCTGGAAAGCATCTGCTGTGTACAAACATCTGATAGACGTCTTTAAGATGTCAGTTTTACATCTTAAAGACATCTTCTAAACGTCTATTTGACATCTGATAGGAAACGTCCCATAGATTGCAGATGAGCAAACGCTCTAAAAAAATACGTCTTGCAGATGTAAACGCAGACATCTCCGTGACGTACGTGTGCTATCAGGGGTCTGGGTTTATAATTATGACGATACATTTAAATATTATAAGAAACACCAGTCTACCGATCAAGCAGCATAACAAGCTGTTTTGTACCACTAAATATAACTGGATGCCAATGACACCAAAAGTCTCGCGCATACGAGTTATAAAGTTGTGGCCTAATGGTTAGAGAGTCGGACTCATAACCCAGAGGTTGTGGGTTCGAGTCTCATATTGGCAGGGATTGTAGGTGGGGGGAGTGAATGTACAGCACTCTCTTCCACCTTCAATACCATGACTGAGGTGCCCTTGAGCAAGGCACCGAACCCCCAACTGCTCCCCAGGTAGCATAAATGGCTGCCCACTGCTCCGTGTGTGTGTGTGTGTGTGTGTGTGAGTGATGGGATAAATGCAGAGCACTAATTCCGAGCATACTTGGCCACATGTCACTAAAACGCCATGTCGCTCTTATGTCAAAAATAAGGTGGATAGCTTAAACTTTAATGCAGAGCACTAATTCCGAGCATACTTGGCCACATGTCACTAAAACACCATGTCGCTCTTATGTCAAAAATAAGGTGGATAGCTTAAACTTTCGTATTTTCCAAAAGAAATAGGAGTGTGTTTGATTGTTTTTTGTGTTACAGGAAGTTCAAATGATGGTGGGTTCCTATGGAAGCCCGTTTCCGCCACTAAATAAAACAATAAAAAAAGTAATTGCGACTTTTTATCTCACAATTCTGACTTTTTTTCTCAGAATTGCATGATACAAACTCGCAATTGCGAGTTATAAAGTAAAAAATTGTGTGATATAAACTCGCAATTGCTGAGAACATAATGTTTTCCCCCTCAAAATTGGACTTTATAACCTTTTTTATTATTTTTTATTCAGTGGCAGAAACAGGCTTCCATAGGTTCATTAAGATATCAAAAAGGAAAAAAAAAAGGATGATTTCTTGGATATATGAATTATGGTGGCAGTGCAAAATTAGTTATTTTAGTTAATTAAAGTAAAACTAAACGCACAAGAAACATGTTCGTTATTTAATTAAAAAATTTATAATAAAGTAAACTTATTTCATCTAGTCTCATTTTGATTTAGTTTAACTTGATGTATTAAAATAACAAAAAATTTAATAAAAAAGAAGTATATAAACATTTTAATTAATAATAATAAAAATGACAAAAACTAAATTACTAACACTTGAACTCAAATTAAAACAAAATCAGAAAATATACAAATAAAGCAAATTCGAAATATTAAAATAAAAAAGAAGTATATAAACATTTTAATTAATAATAATAAAAATGACAAAAACTAAATTACTAACACTTGAACTAAAATTAAAACAAAATCAGAAAATATACAAATAAAGCAAATTCGAAATATTAATGAAATCTATATCTCTACGGTAAAATAGCACTGCTTCACAGTGTTTTAGGGTTTCTTTATAACAGTAAAGATTCATCAGTAAACATTCAGATTTGAGGAATCATTCATATGTGGAGGTGCATTAATCATTAAACATGAAGTAAATGTACGTTTCTTACCCCTTCTCTTTTAACGGTGGTTACGATGCAGTGCCAGATTCCAGTGAACTGTTTCTGAGTTTGGATTCTGACCTGTGCAGGGGTCAAATCAACATATTCATGCTCAGGAGATGATGTTACAACAATGCATGTCTTAAGTTATGAGCCAAATCTAATATGGCACTTAATAATAATGCGTGATTGAGTGTACTTTGACAGTATCCAGTGGATAACCGACCGCCACACCACACGCTCCTGGAACACAACAACAGCACATCAGAACAGTGTGTCCTGCAATATGTGATGAATGACATGCACTCGAATATGACACAGACCGATATCAATCATTCTGAAGCGTCAATAACTAAATGTGTTTATTTGCCTTAAGGAACAGGGTTTACAAATGTCTTGTGTGAACTGAAACATGTTCAAATGTATTGTTTATAAAGTATTCTTCACATAATCTTCTGTGGGAATCCGAACAATGGAGACGTGAGGAATTAAGACCCAACATTATTTCTGATTTCTAAATAAATTAATATTTTATTTTTAAATTAAATTTTTGTCTTATTCATGCATTTTTATTGTCATATTAATCAAATTTTTATATACAATTAAAACACTTAACAATTAGTTATTTTTTATATTTTTCTTAAGTATTTTTTCTTTTTCTTTCCTATTAATATATTTATTTTCCAAATTAAAAAGAACTTTTTTAAATGTTGTGCTTCATTCAACACAAGGATTTTGCATGAAGATTTATCATTATTAAATTAAGAGAATAATAATTAGATTTATTATTTTTTTATGTATTTTTTTTAATACTTTTCTTATTCCAAAATGTATTTTCCAGTTAAAATGTTGCCTTTTATAAGTGTTGTGCTTTATTTAACACAAGGATTGAGCCCAATGAAGACCTAACATCATTGCTGTTTTTCTATTTAAATTTTAAAATTTGATTACATTTAGATTTTTTATTAATAAACATACTGATGTGCACTAATTTGCTTTCATGCAAAAAAACAGTCAAGTACACCCTGCAGCAGAGACTCTAGTATCAAAAACATTCAACATACTGTATAGGTCTTCTCTCAAATCTCTCTACAAAAAATAGCAGAGAATTAACCAAGCAAACAACAGACTTTGAACTGTACCTCCAAATGATCCTGCAAGGAAGTCGGCGAAATGCATCGTCCCGTATTCATTCTAAACGCCTATGACATTATCATCATAGTTTCTGATAAATAATTACACAATGCGACACTGTCGTGCTCCAGTGAAGGTTGCTGGTGTTAGTGCTTTTGTAACAGTCCCTCATTCTCACGTGGTTCTTGTGCAACTGCACCAGCACGTTTATGCATGCTCTTATTTAAAAGCCTTTACATGCATAACATGAAGTGCATTTATTTGAACTTTATAACTGGTCATTTTTGTATTTCTATTCTGCAAGCTCATGACAGGTGATTCGCTGCATTCTGTATGTTATAGCATTTGATGAATAAACCTTTAGATAATTAGTGAGTGTATTCGCACACGCATTGCAGCATTGGCGTTTGGACCCTAAACAGCATAAACAAGCTGATGCAACGCGGAAGAGAAATTACGAGTGCAATGAATCTTTAAACCGATTCCTTTCGAAAGATTCTATTGAGTCGATTCGCGAGTCACTGACAGTTAAGAGAACTACGATCTTGAAAATAGAGCGACAACAGCAGTATTGTGCCAAATATTTATTTATCTAAAAAAAAAAGGAACACTTTTGTTCTATGTTACTAATGTAACTTAAAGGTTAGATGGATAGGATTCACACATAATTGAAATAGTGGCGCAGGAAGCCACATCACACAGGAGCCGAGTTTTGTTTATTGAATCTCTTTAATATAAATAACAAATCAAGGTCTATTTTATATCTGTCTATCTATCTAAAATAACAATATCCCTGACAGCACACGTACGTCACGGAGACGTCTATTTGACGTCTGCGTTTACATCTGCAAGACATATTTTAGAGTGTTTGCTCATCTGCAATACGCATATAGGACGTTTCCTATCAGATGTCAAATAAACGTTTAGAAGATGTCTTATGATGTAAAACTGACATCTTAAATGCATCTATCAGAAGTTTGTTTGTACACAGCAGATGCTTTCTAGATGAAGCAGCGCTCTTTAACAGACATCTTGCAGATGTACGTGTGCTATCTGGGTTTGCTGGGGAAGTCGTGGCCTAATGGTTAGATTAGCCAAAGGTTGTGGGTTTGAGTCTCGTACCGGCAGGGATTGTAGGTGGGGGGAGTGAATGTACAGCGCTCTCTTCCACCTTCAATACCATGACTGAGGTGCCCTTGAGCAAGACACCGATTCCCCAAACTGCTCCCTGGCGCCCACTGCTGTGTGTGTGTGTGTGTGTGTGTGTGTGTTCACTGCTGTCTGTGTGCACTTTGGATGGGTAAATGCAGAGCACTAATTCTGAGTATGGGTCGCCACATGTCACGTCACACATAAAGTTTTTCTCAAAAATATTAGCAACTGAGATACACACATTCACATTTGAACATATCTTAGTATCATTGGTTGGCGAAATTTCGGAAACATCAGGACAGAGCCTTGGCAGATGGATGAGTTTCCAGCCAGGAAATGTGGAAAAAGTGTCAACACGTCCAGCAGTATTAATACATCCTGTTCTTTTTCTTGCTGGCATTCTGAGTTGCGGTGTGTGTGTGTGTGTGTGTGGGTGTGTGTGTTCGCTGCTGTGTGTGTGTGTGTGTGTGTGTGTATGTGAGTGTGTGTGTGTGTGTGTTCACTGCTGTGTGTGTATGTTCACTGCTGTGTGTGTGTGTGTGTGTGTGTGTTCACTGCTGTGTGTATGTGTGTGTGTGTGTTCACTGCTGTGTGTGTGTGTGTGTGTGTGTGTGTGTGTGCACTGTTGTGTGTGTGTGTGTGTGTGTGTGTGTGTTCACTGCTGTGTGTATGTGTGTGTGTGTGTTCACTGCTGTGTGTGTGTGTGTGTGTGTGTGTGTGTGTGCACTGTTGTGTGTGTGTGTGTGTGTGTGTGTGTGTTCACTGCTGTGTGTATGTGTGTGTGTGTGTTCACTGCTGTGTGTGTGTGTGTGTGTGTGTGTGTGTGTGCACTGTTGTGTGTGTGTGTGTGTGTGTGTGTGTGTTCACTGCTGTGTGTATGTGTGTGTGTGTGTTCACTGCTGTGTGTGTGTGTGTGTGTGTGTGTGTGTGTGCACTGTTGTGTGTGTGTGTGTGTGTGTGTGTGTGTTCACTGCTGTGTGTATGCACTTTGGATGGGAAAATGCAGAGCACTAATTCCAAGTATGGGTCACCATACTTGGCCACATGTCACTTCACGGAGTAAAAACCGAAATGAATTGTTCAAACGAATCAATCAAATGAACCACCCGAACGAACCGATTCACTCAAACGAGTCGGATTCCCGGCGCTAGCACAACTACAGCGAAGGCACGTCATGAATATTAATTAGCTCCACCTCCTATGTCTTGGCTAGACTACTGAATATTTTAAAAAACCTAGCAATGACGTTCTCGGTAACCATCCAATAGCGAAGACCTGACTTGTGAACGGAAAAGCAAGGAGGAACAGGAATCCTTTTTAAATCCGCAGGTTGCGATTGGGCGCACGCGCACACACCTCCTCGACACCCATCCATGCATGCGTGCATCCAGAGCCCGCTACACAAATAGACAGTGCACCCAGCAGGTGGTAGACAAGCTAGTAGGAGAAATTTTCCACTACGACCCGATTAGTGGCTTACAGTTGGCGCAGACTCGACCTGCCAGCTGCGTTACCGCTACACCGCACCATCGCAACCTGAAGACTTATCACAGGACACTAAACCCGAGTTAACTCTTCAAAACAGATCTGAGCTCCATCTCATCTAAAGGAACGGTTGTTTCTGTCAGCTTGAAGCAGTGATGGACTTCCTTGCTGGATGCATAGGAGGTGAGACATTTCTCCCAGTACAGTAGAGTACAGTAAACTCCTGTCTGCTAGATTAGGCTTAGTTAAGCTTGTTAAGAGGGTCTAACCCACGTCCAGTCTGCGTCTATATCAAATATAGATAGTATTTTTTTACATCCAGACTCCGTCTGCTCGTTCACACAGTTGAAGTGCAGTCATGCATATGTGTGGAGTTTATTTAGAATTATCTGAATTATTTGTAGTGGAGCAGGAAGCCACGTCACGCTGGACACGTGATAAGAGTTTGTATTTATTGAATCTGTTAAACACACATGATACATCTGTTTTAAGTGCTAAAGAGCTGATATAATTGAAGATTAGAAATGAGCACTCATGTCATATCTATCTAGCTATGCGACTTTTTTTAACTGTTCAGGTTTTATATTCAGACTGTGTGTTGAGGTGGTGGAGTCACGTGATGGAATTCTGCTCTGCCGCCTTTGAAGTAAAGAATGTTACATTGTGACTGATGTGCTGCCGCTGAATGATTGATGTTCTACATTTGGTTACAATGTCAGTCTTTTTCTTTGTGGTGGAAAAACTAAGTAATTGCTACTTTTTTTCACGGTTTTCTTTCTTTCGTTTTCACAAATTTCTGGCTTTTTTTTCTCGGAATGAAATAAAAAATGAAAAGGATCATTTTTAATTTTTATCTCACAGTGTTGCGAGCTTCTATCTCACAATTCAGACATTTCTTCTTAAAATTGTGTGTTTCTATCTCACAATTTTGCACAAAAAAAAAGTGAGTTATTTATATATTGATATTTATTTATTTATTTATTTGTATCCTGTGGCGGAAAGCAGTTTAAGCTGTTTACATTTGTGATTGATTAACAGATGATGTTGCAGTATTTCTGGAGTACACATGTTTTCTACAACTAATTTGAATGGGTTTCATTTGCACAAGATACAGTTTAGTCTTTATTATCTATTCAGCATTCGTTATAAATTCTATTGTAATGCTTCTGCATTATGGTCTTGGTCATAAATAAGCACTCAACTGGACCGATCTGGTCACAATAGCGAGTCTGTAATCAGTGTAGTAGGTAAAGGTGAAAGTTTAATAATCAGCTATTGATAAGGCAAATCTGAATATTGGCTTAGGACTTCAGCATAGTAAACAAGCTAGATTCTCTCTGATGGATTGTTTGAATGTGATGTAGGATAGAAATACTTCAAATGTGTACAGAATGGTAAGAGTGATTGATTTTAATTGAACATGTAACCTACAAGCCTCCTTGAAGTCGTCCTGTTATAGTCGAATAACAGTCGTGCATGAGCTGCTGTGAAATGTGTTTCCCGGAAGAGCCCAGAATAACCCCCTCCCAAATGCCTGTCCATGTCCCGTCAAACGCAGAGGCGTCCCACACACCCCTGCGGGAGCCAATCCCAGCCACGGGACACGGCCACGTCTCTCTCAAAGCTCCTACCAGCTCGTGTTTCATATTACAGATGTGAAGACACAGTGCTTCATAAAAGTTGCATCACAGGTGTCATTATGAGCCCAGTGCTTCATGGGGGACAAGCCACAGTTTATGTTTCCCTACGTTTATGAATGATTCGATTATGTGGCTTGTCATTTTTTTCAATTTGAAATTAACTAGAGCTAGAAAACTAGAAATATAGCTGAAGAATTTTTTCCAACCTCTACCAATATGTATGAAAAAACCTATGAAAAAATATACTAATTATTTATTTATTAGTCATTTATTATGAGTGTGAGTGTATACACGCACTCAATAAATAAAATAGATGCATGTACTAATATGTATGTGTATATATCTTATTTTATTATTTATATATTTACTATATATATCTATATATATATATATATATATATATATATATATATATATATATATATAA